CAATAGACAGTAGCGACCCTATGCCCTGTTACCATGGAGATGACCATCTCTGCCCTAATTATCTCTCTCCTATATATAATTTCTGTTTTTCTAATAAATGCAGTCAAATATTCATTAAAAAAATGTCATCACGACATGATCTTACTTTGCAACAGAAAGTTGAATCAAATAATGAATTAAAATCAAAGTTAACTAATGTTCATATCAGTTCAAAAACAAATAGACAAACGACATTAGAAGACTTTTTTAAACAAAACTAAAGCCTCTCTTGTATCTAAAAATTTTTAACTACAAATCATTTAAATAAAAATAAATGAATAAAAAATAAATAGCTCTTGCTTGACTGAAGACTAGTACAGCAGTAGACGTTCGGAATTTTTCCTTCACTTCTCAGCAAAATGTGCGTCACCTCTATAAAGTGAACACCCCCGTATAGTGAACACTTTTGAAAAGTCCCAATGGTGTTCACATTAGAGAGGTTTTACTGTATTGAATTTATTTTGATAATAATGAATGAATATCTTAAGTTAGTTCAGTTAATAACCTATGATGTAATAGTGCGTACCGGAATAATTTCATTTAATATGATTCTATTACACAAGTAGTACAGATCACTATGTGAATAAATTACATATTGTTTTCTGATAAACTAACCTATTTTTGAATTGATCTGCACCTGTCTTGATATGTAGGTAGCATTGACTTTTCTTTACTTTGAAGCAATACTGCAAGATCCACATTCTCTTAAACAGATAACCAGAGAACAATCTCCAGCGACAAGAAAATAATGTAGAGAAACACAACTGTAGAGGATCATAATAAAACGCAATGATAGGAGCGAACCACCATTCTGTATCGATATATAATGTTGTGAATTATAATATTTTTTTTTCAGACTGAATACGATAATGCCGACTGGTCACTATTATAGTCAAGAAACAAAAGAATTAATATTCAATGTAATTCAATTTATTGAAGGGGAGAAAAATGGACCAAAAATACCATTATATAATGTCAATGATCGTATAATGGCTGCACTTCAAATATCGCATGGTTCAATGGCGAAATTGAAAAATGAAATGAAACAGCTACAAGAAGAGCAACAAATGGATCTGGAACATAAGTTACTTGAACAATAACAACAAAAACAGCAACACTAACCATATGTACTTGCACAAAAATATAAAACTGAGCGTTTGCGTCCACGATCATCATCACCATTTATAACACCAAAAAATGGTCATTTTACAAGTATGGATACTCCTCGTGCAGTTGCGAAATCACCGT